GCTGGTCAAGCAAATTTGTCTAGTGAATCAAACTCCCAAACTTCAATGGACACTGGCAACATTGGAAGTCCAGAAAGAACTAAGTCTGTGATTGTCCGATGTGTTGTGCCAAAGGAGTCTATTTGCTTTTATTGCCAAGAGAAGGGGCATTGGAGACGAAGCTGCCCTAATTACCTGAGAGATCTAAGAGATGGGAGAGTCAAGACGTATGGCTCTACTTCAGGTAAAATCCATTAACTAACTCTTTTAAGTTCCTATTCTAGATTCTTAATACATGATGTGATAAGATTACATTTTGATGTTTTGAAGGATCGAGAAAAGAGAGGAAGCTTGAGAAAAGAAGTGAGCTGAATCTAATCATGAAGAAATGGATTTCGATCGCATTACTTGAAGAATGGATTCTTGAGCTACTACTTGGAGTTAGAATAGATTGTTAAGAAATATGTAATAACATAGTTTTTCAATTGAATTACATTGTAAGGACAAATTTTTCCGCAATAAAATAAATTTTGATTTTATCTTATTTATTTATCCTTGCGATGGCATGTATGAAAAAATTGATGTTTGAATGTTTCTACTATTAGAAATAATGGATTTGATTCTTAATTGTATTATTTGTGGAAGTGTCAAGAGTTTACCAAGTAAGGAGAGTTTCTCATCGCCCAAGTTTCAATTGGACAGAAACTTGGAATCATGCAATGTGTATTGTATGATGAATGGAAAACTTTCACATTTGGGAAACTTAGACTAATTCTTTGGCAAAGTGTCAGTTGAAGGACTAGGAGATCAAGTACACTAGGTTGTGCGTTGATCAAGTCCACCACAAGAGTGACAAAGATATTCGTCATGATTTACTAAAGTTTAGTAAATGTGATTATACTTATAAGATTAAGTGTAATTCTGAGATTGATTGAAAGAGTTTCAATGAATAGTAGAACGAATAAAGAAGAATCAAGTAGGCAGAAAGATAAAAGTTTCTCTTTTCTAGAAGAAGGGAGAGTACCTTTTATTGTGTTTTATGATAAGTCTTAAAGATTAAGAACCATGTCTCAATAGATCCTCTAAGTGAGTCTTAGTGCAATTGCATGTCTAAGAAGAGGAATCAAGTATTGTAGAAATGGTTAAATCAAGAAGTCAATCATACTTCGTTCCAATATCAAGTCTTAAAGTCAAGATTGTGACATTGAGTGAAAAGTCTTAAGTAGGTTTATAACACTCATCAAATGTGGAATTTGGAAAAGTTTTCTTATTCTTGCACATTTGAAATTGGTAAGTTGTGTGTCTTGGATAAGACAAAGACCAACTAGGACCAATTGTGTGAAGTGTTTTGTCTTGATAAATGCTTCACTAACTCTTGAATATTTGTTTGTCAAGAAATGTTTCTTGACAAGAGAATCTTATATGTCAAGAAGTCAGTGGGAGTCTTAATGGTCTTGAAAAGTTTCAAGAACAAATCAAGAATAAACCTTATCGATCATCACTAGCACACGACTTGAGGTTTACAACCTATCGTGCTGACATTGTTTTGTTTCTGTGCCATTCCAATTGAGTTAATTGTGTATATGAGTTCTATGAGTTCTCATTTGAATACACACTAAGAGCCTTAGTCGATGGAAAGTAAATTGATATGTAAGGACAAGTTACTAAACTACTTGGAAGGCATGGTGGGCACTCGTGTTACCATAGGGCAAGAAATCAAGATTAAGAAAGTTCAGTCCATATGAGTTTGGATTTGTCACAAACCTTGTTTTGGCAAATTCACATGGATAGGAACTCATACACCATAAAATCTAAGTGTCATAAGATTCCCTCCTTCATGAAAATGACTGTGAGGAAATGCTTTCACTAAGAGAGATTTTAATAAGATAGCAATTGTGAAAATTGTATTCTCAAATTCGATTATGGTTACGGCATCCCTTTCCATAGTTCGAATTGTGAGATTTGGCAATTAGTTTCAACATTTGGAACTTAGTAACATAAGTTATGAATTGTTTAAACACACATATGAGCTATCTAAGGCAAAGGTGTATAAGGTTAAGAAGCTTAGATAAAGGCTTATCGAAGCATCTGGTATTAGAAATATGAATTTCAGAAATTCAATAGGCATTGTTTTCTGGAAGTTCATTTGTTTTCTGAATACATGTCAAAGCTAGTGGGAGCATAAATGTTATGCTTATATGATAATCATCATGATAGTGGGAGCATAAGTGTTATGCTTGTATGATGTTTATGGCGAGTATTGCAAGTTAGCAATATTAATTATAGAAAAACAAAGATTCCATTTGCAAAGTTGCATGGGTTGAAAAGTTGTTTTGCTATAATTAAGGGAGAGAATATTATACTCCGTTTCAAAATCTAAAGCTTAGATTAAGAAATTTTAATATTTTCAGTCAAAGGATACATTGTGTGTTCTTAAAATTCGATTATGATTACGGCATCCCTCTTCATAGTTCGAATTGTGAGAACATGACACATAAAATATTATGGCAAAAGATTGGTAAAGTATCATATCTTTATGTAAGACATTATGCATCGTGTCCCATACGCTTCGGGTATAGGATCGATTGTAAATGCTATAGTATTTTACCATTCTAAAATTTTCCAAATGTCTAGCGCATTAAGAGGGAAAAAGGAATAGAATTGGTTTTGACTGAAAGAATTTAACAACTATCAAAGGACGATCCAAAGTTCGCTTGAGGATTGATCGCTTGTAAGTAGTTGGAAGTATGGTATTGGATGGACCATATCGACATTATTATGAATAGATAAGATTCTATAAGAATGAGTTGTCATATGGCAAATGTGGAAATGTTTCCATATTGGGAGTTGGATATTGAGAGTCTATGCCTAGATTAGAAACTTTTATGCAAGAAGGATGTTCAAAGGAATGTACTTTGAATGTGAGACTTCACATCTATGGAATTGTCTTGTAACAATTTCTAAGAAAGTACTTTGTAATTTCATTAGCTACGTCTTGGTGACTTTTGTGCTATGATTTTGCAAAGGGATCGTTGCATAAAATGTTAGAATCTAGCATATTCTAGTAGTGGCAAGAACCTTGTGTTCTTACACTAATAATTAGGATTAAGGAATTGTGAAATGAGCATCATTGGAAAAGTTTTCAGGTGATCTATTTCGCAAAGCATGGACCATAGGAAACAAAGTGTGCATGTTTAGAGCATGGGACAATTGTTGGTATAATTCAAGTAATGAGTTGATTATCCGAAACATTAAATGATAAATAATGAGTAATCAATATGGTGGATAAATAAAAGGGTTTTATTTACTCTCACAAGTTTGGGGCCATATAGGATTAAGTATTGTTGTCATGTTTCAATTTGCATGTTTTGACTTCCAGAATAACTAGGTTATTCAAACATCCACAGTTGGTCATACGTTGGGAGTAGGTATGAATAAAGACTGTCATGAATCTGTCTGTAGATTGTCTGAAGTGTTTAGACATGGCACAAGTTTGCTGCAGAGTTCGTGAGTGCTTTGATAAGATTAAAGTATTGGATTAAACCCACGCTCACTTGGATCACTTCACGGTTTTATCACGAGTGATTAGTGAGACGATAATATTGTATATTCTTGAAACCGAGACGTGTGAGTTGTTATTTGTTGGTCAGTTACACATTGATAATAAGTAAACGCACCAGTAACTTGGTGTTATAAAACTTATTGTTGTGTGTGATTCGATCAGTAAATGCAAGCGAGCATTTGAGTCAAAGTTTATCCATTCCTTTTACCCAAAGTGGGATAAAAGCGATATATGTGGGCCTCTCGATGATTTAGTGATGACACCTAAGCGCTTGGCCAAGCCGGGACTAAGTTGATGTGTTCAATTGTAGTCTGTTATCAGTCATCATGAATCGGAAGTCGGGAAATAGTATAGAGAGAATGATTGAAATTCATGTCTTTGTCTATACGATATCTTGAGAATGGAGGAATATATAATCCCTTATCTAGAGGACACGCTATCTGATAAGATCAGAGTTGACATCAGCTTTTGAAAGCTACGATTGCTGATCAGGTTCTGAAGTCATACGGAAAATAGTTATTAGACTTATCCAAGTGGGAGACTGTTGGATTAGTGTCTAAGTCCATAACTGTTTTGGTATGTACTTGACCCGATTATGAGCATGGTCCTTTTGGGTTGCCTTCACCATAGCAATATGTAGGATGATTTAAGGAGAGAAAGGTTTAAATATGATTTATTAATATATTATGAGAATAATATATTAAAGGGGAAATCATATTGTTTAATTAATATTAGTCAATAATTAATTAAGAATTAATTTTGTGACTAAAAGAGATTAATTAAATATAGGGGACTGGACTGCAATTATTGGATAATTGAGTTATTGGGCTAAGGAATGCTAAAGGAATAAGGGGTGAACGAAATTATGATGGAAGCCCATCATATTTTCGTCCATAGCCTTGTCCAGAAGGTTCCATGGGCTGCTTAGAGTTTAAGCTGTCCATTAGGGTTTTGACTGAAACCCTAGCAGCCCACACAAGTATATAAAGGACCCCTTAGGCCCCAAAAACGTGGACAACTGATTCACTAGGGTTTCTAGTCGTTTTTTTGGGCAGCCTCCTTACTTCTCCTCTTCATCCAAGTTGCATATGGTGTTTGTGACTCCATTAGAGGTACTACACTTGTGGTACTTGCTTTCAAGAGCTAAGGAAATTCAAGGAACTAGTTGTTATTGCTATATAACAACAAAAGGTATGTATTCTAGCTTTATATATGAATTTCGAAAATTATAGTAGCATGCCAGGTTTCTTTTTGTGTTCATAAAGTTGTATAACTAATAGTGAAAACATAGATCCAATACTAGGGTTGCATGCACACATAGGATTGTTTGTATAAAACCCATCACATTCAAGTTAAAATTGTTCCCCATGTATGCTAGATAGGAATATAGCCTTGGAATTCAACTTTGCATGATAATTTGACAAACATAGATCCAAGGTTATTAGGGTTGCATGTACACTTAGGAAGTGTTAGAATGCTCAAAACCCAACAGTATAGGGGTTGTTTCAGAAGATTGCATAGGAGATAAAGGTTTGGAAGAAGGTAGAGGTTCGGTTGCAACTTGTGGTTCGGTTGTGACCGGAGGTTCAGGTGCAGGAGGATCAGGAACAGTAGAGCGAGTTTGTGTGGTAGTGGTGGTATCTGTGAATATGGGACTTGTAGTGGATGGTTGAGAGGTAAAAACTGGGATTGTTACATGTATAGGTGAAGGGGGATTGGAGCGAACTGGAATGTCTGGGGTAAGAGAGCGAGGTGGAGTATCACCTCGACCCGAAGCATCTTCTTCCGAGCTTTCGCTCTCAGATTCTGATGGAGGAGAATTTTTGTGCTTAGGAGGGACATATTCTAAATCGCTTGAAGATTGCAGAATAAGTCTCCGAGCTAGCTTCTTTTGCTTTTTCGGTTGAGCCTGAGAAAGGGAACCTTTATCAGTCTTTCGCTTCTTAGGGGTGTGCCCCTTGGTATGCTTGGTGACCGGTTCTCCCTTATGTGTTTCAGGCTTTTTGCCCCTCTTAGCTGGCTTGTCAGCCTTCTCAATTGACCGAACCATTTCCTGTGTAAGCTCTCTCGGGCCAGTCGATGGAAGCTTCCTGTGTTCTTGTAGAACATTACTCAACTCAGAAATACGACTGACAATCGATTTAGGAATGGAGCCAATAAACGAAAACTTCGTTGGATCAGTAACAATGATCTTCGTCGTATGAAAGGTAGCAATGGATGAGAGCAAGGAATCCGCCATTATTGGAACACGAAGGCGGTCCATTGCCCATTGGGTGATGATAGACCAAAAACGTCCACATGATATCTTAGAATGCCTGGATGACGAAACCAGGCTTTGAACCAACTACTATCAAATGAAAGTCCCATAATCTAGGTTAATCCCATTGTACAACGAGTATAGTACTGTCATGAAGAATTTGCTTGCACCATCGGAGACGGCGCTTCGCTCAGATAATCCTTTGAATAATAACGTAAAAAGGCCATCTCATTGGGGAAGAAGGCAGGACTTCTTGAACTCCGTAATGGTTGTTAGGATTTCAGTATATCCCATCTGATAGAACATTGAAAATAATTGACCAATAGTAATGGAGTTGGGATTTACCAGAAAGGAATGTTGAGCAAGACCGATTAGGGCACATAATCGATTCTTGGAGATGGATGACGCAGGAGAGAGAAAGAAGCGTTCCCTTTTTCACGTCGTTTCATAGAATGCACTTTTTCAAATCTCCAAGTCGTTTGGATAGCTGCTAAGTCAGCGTTCACTTTAACCCAATCGTTTTGTATGACACTTGAATCACTGTACCTATATCACTTTAATGATCAATCGAAATCAGAACCAGAATATGGAAAACTAAAATTTTTGTGCATAAGGTGTAAAAGATAAGGAAATAAAACGAGATTTTAGTGATCATATGTGATGTCGAAATCTGACATAAAACAATTGATTCTAGGCAGAAATCACTTCCTTCAATGTCAAGAGCGACATTAAAGTGCATGCTTGGTTTTGTCACACCCCCAAACCTGAACGGCGGAAACGTTCGGGGGCGGATGACTTCATGTGGTAGCATAACAAGTGTATACATAGTAAAGAAAGCAATACAACCATCATATATATATATATATATATATATATATATATATATATATATTATATAATTGAAAGTTTACATTTGTCAAACGTTACATGTTCAAAATCAATTACAAATATGATGTCAAAATATGAGATTAAACTGGCGCCGTAGTATCTCTTCATCAAAAGCATGATGATACCTGTAGTTACTGAATCCCTGGGATATACAAGTAATTCTGAGAGAGTACATCAGCATTTAAGCTGGTGAGTTTCATAAGCATTTAATGACAATGTTTGTATGAAATGAAATATCTTGTCCTTGTTTGTTTGTGTTTAGAAAATCCTGTATTTTCTGCTAATGTAAAAGTAGTCTTCCTTCCAGACTAAAGTTTGTTTCCAAAATGTTTGTAATTGTAAAAGTAACCAATATGTTTGAAAACCTCGTAAATCAATGTATTTTTAATACCATCTGTGAGCTTTATAACCATACTATTGACTCGGATTGCCTATACACAACGTTCTTCAGGCGTTGGAATGTTATGACGTTTGTCACCCCAAACGCTGGACTGTAGCTAACAGTCAGGGCGCAGGTTGTCAAGCCCATATAGATCTATACACAAACACCATGCTCACCCTCCAAGGGATTCTGGTATATAATACAGGACTTGAAATGTGTACTCGAACGTACGTGAAGTAAATGTCTCACAGAACCGTAGTATAAAAACAAATTTACATGTTGAAATGTTCGTTTGTTATCGTACATGAAAGTGATTTCTCGAAAATCGTGTTTCTAGTATGTAAAAGTTTGCAATGTCCTCATAAAACTATACCTATTATTGTTTTCTAAAAGTGTGTCTCGTTTGCTTTTAGAATATCTAGAAAAGAATCACTTGTTATGAAAACATAGATTTTTGTAGCGTCTAAGATAGACACAACATACTTTAAATCTAAGAAAATGTTTAGTCTATACATGCATTACAACACACATGATTCCACTTAATAAAAGTGTATAATAATCATTATATATAACACCCGATAATAGTCGTGTGTTTTACTTGTATTTCCCCCCTAGAAAGCATATAAAAGAGTTTAGAATATTAAAAGGGTTAATTAAGGGGTATGAACTCACTTGAAAGTTTGAAGATAACGAGATGGAAAACCGGGCAGAGTTTCGTCTCAGGAAACGGATTTTCCTCGGGATTCTCGGGAGTCTCGGGAGTAAAATCGACTTTCGTGACTTGCACAAAATGACCAGGGCTTCGGGGTAGTGCGAGCACGGAAAACGAGGTAAAACGCAAGAAAAGTGAGAGAGAATGAGAAAATTTTCCGGGAACCCTCGCATCCTATTTATAGGAGGCTGGAACCGCCTCCGTACGCGGGGTGTACGCTCGTACGCGGGGCGTACGCGTACGTCATGCTTGACTGAGTCCTCGACTACCTTGCACTTCGAATGGGACGGGGGGTAGGCTCGCATAGGGGCGACGTGGATGATCCGAGACCGTGGCCTCGAGTACGCTGGGCGTACTCGTGTACGCGGGGCGTACTTGCGTGACTCAGACTTCATATAATACCGAAGTTTTCAATAATAATTATACATAAATTAATTATCAAACCTCAAAAACTCATATCTCCTTCATACGAACTCCGTTTTTGACGTTCTTTATATCCCCGCGAAGGTGAGACCACGATCTACAACTTTCGTTTAGATTCCATCGGCAAATTCCGAAATTATTTTTGTTATTTATTTATTAAAATGACATGATCAAGGAATTTCTTTAAAAATTCATAACTTCTTTATCTGATCTCGGTTTTTTCCAGACTTTTTACCGCTAAATTACCATTGTCGAGACCTTCGATTCTCGTTTAGGTCATTCCGGCCAAAAGTCGCTTGATCTCTGATTTTGAGTTTTCAGTTGACTGCTGTTAAGCCGAAATTGGAAGAATCTTAACTTCAATATACGAAGTCGGGTTTGGGCATTCTCTTTTACGTACGATCCCGGTTTAATGATATAAAACATAGTAGGTAGTTAAATAGAATCTTTTTGGACATTTTATTATCAACGTTTATTTTGATTAACTCAAAAATGGTTACAATACTTGACCTATTAGGCCATTACAAAGAGTTGAAATATCGGGTTGTCACATCATCCCCCCGTTAGAGGGAATTTCGTCCCGAAATTTAAAGTAGTAAGGATACTAGTGAACATGAAAGAGATGAGGCTACTTTTGTTTCATCTAATCTTTGCGTTCCCATGTGAATTCAGGTCCCCGCTTGGCGTTCCAGCGAACCTTCACGATGGGTATGCGACTTTGCTTTGTTTGTTTGACCGGTCGGTCCATGATTTCTACTTGTTCTTCCACAAAGTTGAGGCTCTCTTTGATCTTGATTTCGTCGAGTGGAATAACAAGAGTCTCATCGGACAGACACTTTTTCAAGTTTGAGACATGGAAGGTTGGATGTATGTTACTAAGTTCACGCGGTAGGTTAAGCATCTAAGCCACAGGGCCGATTCTGGCAAGAATCTCGAAAGGCCCTATGTATCTTGGATTTAGTTTCCCCCGCTTTCCAAAGCGTATTAAACCCTTCCACGGTGAGACCTTTAATAAAACGTGGTCTCCTACATGGAATTCCAAAGGTTTCCTCCTTTGGTCAGCGTAGCTTTTCTGTCGGTCTCTAGAGGCTTTCAATCGTTCACGAATCTGAACGATCTTCTCTGTTGTTTCTCGTATAATTTTCAGACCGGTGAGAGTGCTTTCAGGAACTCTTCCTTTAGCTTACTGGGTATCGCCAACTTCAGCCCAGCACAGAGGGGATCTGCACTTTCGACCATAGAGGGCTTCGAACGGAGAAGCCTTTATCCTTGTATGATAATTATTGTTGTATGAAAATTCGACAAGGGGTAAATGGATATCCCATGCCTTTCCAAAGTCAATCACACAGGCTCTCAGCATATCTTATAAAGTCTGTATCGTTCTCTCACTCTGCTCGTCTGTTTGTGGGTGGTAGGCTGTACTCATGTCTAGCTTAGTCTCCAGGGAACCTTGTAGTGACTGCCAGAGTCTTGAAGTGAATCTACTATCTCGATCGGAGATAATGGATATCGGAACACCATGCAGTCGCACTACTTCCCTGAAGTAAGTTCTTGTAAGTTTTTTCCATTTTTTCAGTCTCCTTGATGGGTAGGAAATGCACGGATTTGGTCAACCTGTCGACGATGACCCATATGGTATCGAGTCCACCCGTCGTCTTGGGCAACTTGGTTATGAAGTCCATAGTAATCCGTTCCCATTTCCATTCTGGTATCGCTGGTTGTTGTAGTAGTCTTGAAGGTTTCTGATACTCGACCTTAACCTTAGCGCAAGTAAGGCATTTACTTATGAAGGTAGCAATTTCTGCTTTCATTTTAGGCCACCAATACAAGTTCTTAAGATCCAGATACATCTTATTTGAACCCGGGTGAATGGAATACCTCGTGTTGTGTGCTTCGGTCATTACTACGTCTCTGAACCCGCCATGTTTCGGTGTCCAGATTTGGTTCATAAGATAATATGCTCCGCCACCCTTGACTTCTAGATTCTTTTCCATTCCCCATAGGGATTCACCCGCCACATTTTCAGGTCGCAAAGCATCCATTTGTGCCTGTTTAATTTTTGTGGATAAGTGGGAATGGATAGTCATAGTCAGAGATCTGACCCTCTGACCAGTGTATTCCTTTCGACTGAGGGCGTCAGCTACCACGTTGGCCTTGCCAGGATGATAACGAATTTCGCATTCGTAGTCGCTTAGTAACTCAACCCATCGTCGTTGTCGCATGTTGAGTTCCTTCTGATCGAAAATGTGTTGAAGGCTCTTGTGATCAGTGAAAATAGTACTCTTTGTTCCGTATAAGTAGTGTCTCCAGATCTTTAGAGCAAATACCACTGCTCCTAACTCAAGATCGTGTGTCGTATAGTTCACTTCGTCTATCTTAAGCTGTCGGGAGGCATAAGCAATAACTTTCCCTCTTTGCATAAGAACACAACCAAGTCCTTGATTTGACGCATCGCAATACAGTACGAAGTCTTCTATCCCTTCGGGGAGGGATAGTATCGGTGCGGTGCACAAGGCTTGTTTTAGTGTTTGGAACGCCTTCTCTTGTTTTGCTTCCCAGTCAAAGGCCACGCCTTTCTGGGTTAATGTAGTAAGAGGTTTC